TTCACAACAAGGGGGCAAAGAAATGACGACAAACAAGCGGAGATTGACTGAACAGGAGGAGAATATATGGGACAGAGAAACAAAGACTAGGCTAATTATCAGATTGGGAGCAGGTGTGAACAGAGGAGGCAAGAAGGGAGCTAGGGAAAGGAGACTGACACAAGAGGGCAAACAAGAAATATATAAGTACTCATATACAATCAATAATAACTAGATCACAAAAATGGAAATAAGACCAATGAAAACTCAAGAGATAAAACCTGAACAGAACCAAAACCATGACACTGACTCCGTCTCTACACCCAGATTAGGAGCCTGATTTGTGGTTTCTAGGTGAACCCGTGTTCTAACTTTAATGAGCTCTTCTTTTGGTCCAAAAACTATTTCTTCAATTTTGTTTTTATTCAGCTGAAGACAATTTTGCTCCATCCATGCATAGAGTACTCTGCATTTACCCAAAGCTGGAATGGGTTCATAGTCATCTGGTGACATCATAATGTACAGCTGTGTGTCGTCTGCATAGTTATGGAAATGTATGTAGTTTATGAAGATCTGAATTTGGGAAAGCATGTAGACATTGAATATGAGGGGCCCTATGATGGAGCTTTGGGGAACACCACATCTCTCTGATGTTAAATTACGCTCTGACACCAAAAAGGTCATGTCCCTCAAGAAGGATTTAAAACAGCCATTGTGGTACGAGAAAGACTGACCCAGTTTTCCAGACCCTTGAGTAAAATTTAGTGATTTACAGTGTGTAAAGCCGCACGAAGTTATAATACCAGCACCTTGGTTCCTTGGTGTAACACTTACTCTCCGGCCAAAGCACCTAGCCGTGACAGTAAATAACTCAAGGAGCTCCGGAAGTAATACAATGTTAACTACCTAAATGATGCATGCAGTATATATAGCCCTTCCATGTCATGTACATCCTTGTGACAGTCGGCATATGGTGTCATTTTCTATTTCTTCAAACTGTAAAATTCTTGCAACAAACTAAATTATGATTAAACTAAATGCTTTCTTTAAATCAAACTTTGATGTTCCTCCTATATTTGCCGCATTTATGTTAGAATATTTAGCAAAAAGATGTTCCGGTGCATGACAGGGTTTTGCATCTATTACATTTATCTATCTATCTACCTTTTTAAAACTTTTTTCCTTATTGTGTTTTCCAAACTCAGTTTTTA